TAAAGAACCGCGTATTTGCTACCGTAATTTCTCTTTTGGAAAATATGAGTGAATGATACTGCGGTCTGGCTCCCCAGCTTACACCGTGTTTTATGGGCTACCCTGACTGTTCAGAGTTGCTAGGTAAACGGGATTGATTGGCTGACGTTCCAGCTTCAGCTTCAAGTTGAACATTGCTCAACTTTGAATCCTGACAATCCTGAAAGATCCTGGGAACATCTTCGCTTTGCTTCACCCACAATGCAGTTCGGCGATAAAGCCAGCAAAGTGACGTCATCCCATTCAAAGTCAATGGGCAGAGGAAGGTTGGAAGATTTGTTTAAAGCTGCGTGTGTGACGTACCGTAGTCAAACAGTACCAAACCCACCTGTGTCTTCTTCCTTCTGGCAGTGTGCTGTAAACGCATCGGCTCTGAGCCTGGAATCATGGCCTCCAGGTCCTCGCCCTTGCAGCGTCCCTCCACATCTGAACAGAGTCGCTGGTGAGGAAAAATAAAACACAGACCTGATTCATAAATCTGATTGACTGTTCAGGTCTATCGCACAGCCAACACACTATATTAGTTTGCAGTAGTAATTTCTGTAGATATTGTTACAGGTATAATATAACGTTTAATATCATTTTGCTTTATTGAAAGTATTGGACACCATTTTCTCCAAACTTTACTTTGTTATCAATCATTAGAATTGAATAATGATGATAATGGACACATTTTTAAGTTTGTAATAACAGCTGTACTTACTACACCATAAAACTGGTCCTCATGTCTTAGTGTTAAGTAGAACATACAGTATTCTTCCTCGAGGTAAATTTTGTTGGCCAAGTAATGTTTTTATTTTTTTTTATTTGTATGATACTTTTTTTATTAATCCCCGTGAGGTAAATTGTTTCTCGGCATTGACCCATCCTAGGTTAGAGGCAGTGTGCTGCATTTGGAACGGCTGGCCCGGCGGCATGGAGGAACGGGCCTGTGCTCAGGGAACCTCTTTATTATTAGTATATCATAATTACTAATGTAATCAATCTTTCAACCTATCCCCTGTGTGCCTTGGTCACTTTCATGTTTGTTTTTCGCTAACAGACAAGTACAACCTTTATTTGTGAGTGCCAGTGAACCGTTTCCATTGATCCTTGCCACTACTGTCCACCCTTTGCATTTAGATTTGGAGCTGTGCGTTGCCTCTTCCCAAACTATCTTCAAAAGTTGAGAAGAAAGGCATTCAACCCAGAAATGAATGACCTTGTGAAATTGATTTGTAGTTCAATTTGGGGTCTTTTTTCTGCAGTTGCTCGTGTAAACTCCATGATTGTGAAACAGTTTGGTTACTTCCCTATTCCCATGGTTTTTATTAAATTATTTTCCCGTCTTGCAGGCTGAAGCCAAGAAGAAAAGAAGAAGTAGCGAGGAAAAGGACAAAATCACAGTGAGACATTAACTTACTTTCATTTTTTAAACAAGTGCAGATAGTGAGACAGATTTTTATTTTAAGACTGCAACAAAGACACATTTTTAGGAATGCACAAATGAGTAAGTAGCGTTGTAACATTAGATGGTTCGGACAGGTTGTACATGGACTGTATCTACATTAGACCGATCCGGCATAGTATCAGCTGTTGGGGACGCAGCAATATATACTGTATGTGTGTGTCTACTCAACCAGAAAGTCCCTAGCAACAAAACAACTCATTTGTTTGGCTATAGCTAATCACGCTGTGGTATTGATACTAACTTAAGAGAAATTACTGACGAGTATGTTTTTGTACACAGGACAAATCCAAGAAGAAGAGGAAAAAGAAGCACAAGAAACACGGCAGAAAAAAGAAAAAGAAGGCAGCTTCTCATTCAGACAAGGAGCTCGACTAATGCCAGTGTCTCTGCGCTTCTCCCGTTGTGTTGTTTTTGCCGCTGACCTCCACAAAACCCTCATATCCAGCTTTGGTCATCACAATTGAAAAAGATATGTACAAACTTGCCATGCTGGGGTTTTTAAGAGTGAAATTGAGGCAGGCAGCTATCTGTGGCAACTACCGGTTCATGTTTACTGTTGATTTGTATCACCTTGCTTTTGTAGATAATTGTTCTTTCACCCACGGGACTGAGATGAATTCCCCGTATTTCCCCCCCCTCATCTTGGAGACTTCAGCGTGACCTGCTCTCACCTTCACCCTGGAGCTCCTCTTCTCTCCACTTCACACCCCACATTTCTAGTTGCTAAATGAGGCCGTCCTGCTAGTGCCTGCATTGTGCATGTAGACCTGATGTCCCCCCAGCCTCATATTGAAGTTGGACTTATAAGAAATGTGAGCTGCAGAGTCAACATTTATACAAAGGATACTTGTTCCGTTAGATGAATTGTTACAGTTTTGTGTACATGAATAAACAATGGCAATTCATCAATAAAGTATTGTTTAACCTTTATTGCTGTTAATAAGTTACAACCTTTATTGTGAGATTATTTTATGTTGTCTGTGTGGGCATAAACACAAATCATACATTGATATAAACAGTCAACTGTTGGATTTAATTTGTGGTTACCCTGCCTCAATTATAAATCTTGTTCTGCTTTGTCACACTTCCTTACAAGTTAAGGAAACTAAGCGCTCTACTCTAAAAATAGATATCCTCAAAAAGCTTCCTATTCTTAAGTTGTGGGAAATTGTTTGAATGCCTTTAGACATGTGGATAATGTACCACACGTATAATATCAGATATCCCATTGTGTTTCCATATAGCTCAAGTATTTCTGACTTGACTTGTGAACTATTACTGCCAATTTCTTAAAAAATAAAATACAAAAAAGACAGTAATTGGTTTCGAAAGTATTCAGATCAGATTAAAATAGTTTTTTTGTATAGTTAGAAAATGTCTTGCATTCCAAACCTTAGCAGAGGCACTTACATATATACTTATATTTTCAGAATAAAGTAAAGGCTCCCTTTAGGCAAAATGGTCCACTTTAGAGTGTGTTTCTGGATTATCGTAGTAATAGAGTCAGACCAAAGTATTGGGCCACTTACTCACCTACAGGAGTTGTTGACATCCCATTCCAAATGATAAGGCATTAATATGAAGTTGGTCCCTCCTTGGCAGCTATTACAGCTTCCACTCTTCTGTGAAGGCTTTCTACAAGATTTTGTTGTGTGGGAAATATTGCCCATTCATCCAGAAGATCATTTGAGAGGTCAGACACTGATGTTGGACGAGAGGACCTGGCTTGCAATCTCTGTTCTAGTTCATCCCAAAGGTCAGGGCTCTGTGCGGGTCAGCCAATTCTTCCACACCAAACTCATCCAACCATGCCTAGACCTTGCTTTGTGCACTGGGGCACAGTCATACTGGAAAAGAAAAGGGCCGTCCCTGTAACTACTCTGGTCTTGAAATAACGTTACGCATCGAACTGATGTCCACAATCACGTTTAGGTACCTCTTGGTACAATTATGAAACACCGTGAAAACGTGTTCACCTAGTAGACCAGCAGTAGAAAAGGCACGTTATTAACATCGTTGACACTTTTAGCGCCGTTTTACTACTCTAACAAACACAATGTAAACATCCGGGGCTAGCGATCACATGACTTCCGGAAAGATAACTTATAATTTTTAACAAAATAAAACGAAGTTCTAGCATACATTAGGCACTCTTCAAAAAATACAAAACAATAAATAAGGGCGCTTTGAGCGTCAGCTACATTCCACAAAGTTGGAAGCATAGAATTGTCCAAAATGACTTGGTAAGACTAAGATGAGGCATTAAGAATCCCCTTCACTGGATCTAAGGGGCCTAGGCCAACCCCAGAAAACACCCCATAGCATTATCCCTCCTCCACCAAACTTTACAGATGGCACAATGCAGGCAGGTAACGTTCACCTGGCATTTGCCCAACCCATACGCGTCCATCAGACTACCAGATACTTTAATAATATCATTGTGTGATTCTTATTAGCTCATGTTTATCTATATTTACTACTTTCACTTATTTGCTAAGCTTGGGAAAATTCCTTATTAAGAAGATTTGTTGCAGTGTTGTTAGTTACACTCCATGTGCACCAACAACTCAGTTGAACTGAGAACATCCTTATCACCAAGCTTTACCCCTCCCTTTCTCCTCTCTCTGTGTTTAAATATGCAACCCAAACTCTATTCTTTCTCTTTCACTCTGCAATTTATCAGCTGATACTAAATTGTTTTATTTTTAATTTATCAGCAGTAACTAATAATGCAGTGAAGTAACAATGCCATTATCTATTGAAGTAGAAAGTAGCAGAAAATTGAAATTAGGGCAAAGTGCATACCTCTTAATTGTACTTAAGTATACTAATTAAACGTACTTAGTTTAATACATACCAAGGTCCTATGTAATTAATAAAGAAAGATGCTAATATCCAAAAAAGGTATAAGAACCACTCTTAGCTTATAAGTAACATTTGATTTGAGTACTTAACATTTGACCTACTTCCTCATTTGAAAAAAACATTTATTGCATCAATAGTTTTTCAGGTTTCAGGTTTTACAGGCAGGTCTTGTGATGTTGAACATTGAAATGGCAACAAAGGTAAATGTGAGCGTTCCCTGTTTAATCATTGAGGTGTCGGAGTGTTTTCAGAAACGTCCACTGTCATGATTTGAAAATCACATGATGGCCCACTGCCACAGGGTGTGTGTACTGTTGGGCTTCTAGATTTCTAGTGGGAGTGTCTGACCTGCCTTATAAAGACCAATGCATTCGTGCTTCAGTTCAGGGGAAGTGTAACCGTAGCACAAGAAGCTGTTGAAACACTTGCAAGGTAAGTGATAAGAATAATCTGCCTCAAATCCTGTATACTTTATGGTTTGTTATATACAGTCACAACGCCTATTAGTACTGTTCAGGGATATCCTGAGATTAAAGAAGATTAAAGTACAAGCTAAAATGAAATTGAAAGTTGAAGCATGTGAACAAAATCAAAGACGTTTAAATCACAATGTGGTTTATGAACTGGAAATAATCTGTATGAGACATCCAGTGGAACTGCAGATAATGTAACTAATTTAACTGATTTAAATTAACCTCATATTATTACTGTTTTGCAGATGTTGAGGACTACTCTGTGGTTGTTAGTGGGAGTGTTAGTGTGGGGTTTTGCATCCTGCATTACATGTCCTGACGGGAACCACTGCAGTGATCACGCCACCTGCTGTATGACTGAGCATGGATATAGCTGCTGCCAATATCCCAATGTAAGTCACTTCAAAACATACAGTAACACGACATGTAGTTATAAAGACTAACGTTTATCTCTGTGTGGATTTATTTGTCTTTAGGCTGTGTGTTGCGCTGACCTGGCCCACTGCTGCCCTTCAGGGTTTCACTGTAACCTGGTCACTCAGATGTGTGAGAAAGCACCATGGATGAGAATCCCCATGGTGAAGAAGGAAGCTGCAGAGAAACCAAGCACTCCTGTTCAACCTGCATCTCCCCTCCAGGAACTCCAAAACAATGCTGTACCAGAGCAAACGAAGAGTTCAGGTGTCTACTGTGACAGCTATTTCAGGTGTCCCGATGGCTACACCTGCTGCAGACAGCCAACAGGAGCCTGGTTCTGTTGCTTGTACTATTTTGTGAGTAGTTTTGTGATCTTCATAGGATTGTGCAATGAGACACATGACTATGAGGAAATTCCTTTTGTTTATGTTGGACGACAGGTCAAAACAGGAATCTCGAAGTTTGAATTCCAAACAAAGAGAGTTATATTTCATAATTCTTCAGTATTGGATCTACTCTGCATTTAATGTAAAATATATATACAAAAAATATATATATGTTATTTGAAATATGTTAAGTTTTTCCTCTTTCACTTCTAAATGTTTTTATGTCTTTGATTCTTTTTTTTTAGTTGCATGTTTTTCTTTTCATACATATTGGTTTTAGAATGGTCAAGTCAAGGGCGGTGATCCAAGAATCTGATTGCCAACTACTGCTTCTGTTACCGTCGTGCATTTGACAATGATTAACTTGTTACTTCTTTTAAAATGTAGGGCAGGTGTTGTCTGGACGGCTACCACTGTTGTCCATATGGCTACGACTGTGACTACACGTATACACATTGTGTGAGGCGAGGCCTGAGCTATCCCTTCAGCCCCAGAGAAAGTCTCACCTCAATCCCTGCCTCTCCCATTTCAACTTCAGAGGACAAAAGCATCATACAAGAGGTATGACATATGGCAGTAAATGTGCCTTTATGTGGTGTATAAATCCTGGGGATGCGTATCTCAATGACCATCATCAACAAAGGTCCTGAAAGTCCGTCCTCCATTAGCTTTCTAATGTAGGTGGTGGGGCTCTACACAAGTTTTCACAGGAGTTTTTTACTTTTAGGCTTTCTTCCTGTCATTTGTTTTACTGGTTTGAGGTGGGCGGGGCTCAGTTGAAAAGTGATCCAACATCATTCTGTGCACCAATCAACATTAAGCATCATCTGAATCAATATGTTGACAGTTGTTGGTTTGCTTGCTTATGTTCGCAGGCCACTGGCATTCCAATCTGATCCAATCAAACCTAAAAAGTGTTCTCTTCCTCGTATGTGTTAACTTACTTGGCAATAAACCTGTTTCTGATTCTTATAAAACAAATCTTGATAAATAATACTAACGGCTTTTTCCCTGAAAAGAAAGAAACCTCTTACCAATATTCAAAAGTTCAAATGACTTTGTGTATTACATTACGTTACTTGTTAGACGCTTTTATCCAAAGCGACTTACTGTATATACTCAATACTGTGGGCAATCCCCACAGGAGCAATTTGAGGTGAAGTGTCTTGCCCAGGGACACAACGACATGCGTGACTGCAGTGGGGTTTGAACCTGTGACCCCCTGATCCGAACACTAAGGCTCTATCCACTGGCTCTATTCTTTGCGCCACACACCTATATGCCTGTAAGCCGTGTATAAAAGATTTGTATTGTAATGACAAACTTACAGTCACGTATGTATCAACCTACTATTCCACTAAGCTCTACATGCCCAAGCTTCCTTTATGTCTTTGTGTTGGTTTTACAGCCTGCAACTCCTCTTAACAAAAAAAAAAAAGTATTTATAGTTAAATATGTATTTAATAGCAAGGTCATTTTGTGTATCCCTTTTGCAGACACCAATGACGGCTCTGACAGAAACCAAGGATGGTATCCCTGAGGCTGGAGTCATTCGCTGTAATGAAAAGTTGTACTGCTCATCAGGGACAACTTGCTGCAAAGACACCAAAGGCAATTGGAGCTGCTGTCCCTTCCCACTGGTATGAATTGTCCATGACACATTAAAGCCATCAAAAAGTAATGGAGCTGTGATCTGAAGGGAACTATTATGCAAAAGTGTTAAGACAAATAGGAAAATGTAAGCTTTAAAACACACAACAACTTAATTATCAACATCATTTGAAAGTGC